GGCTGAACAAGCCCAGCTCCCTCAGCCTTTCCTCGTAGGAGAGATGCTCCAGCCCCCTCCTCATCCTCGTAGCCCTGCGCTGGACTCTCTGCAGTAGCTCCTCAGCTTTCTGGAACTTGGGAGCCCAGCACTGGACACAGTACTGCAGATGGGGCCTCACTAGGGCAGTGCAGAGGGGCAGGAGAACCCCTGTTCATTTTTCTCTGGTGCACCTTCTCCTGCTACAGGGCACACCTGGGCCCTTTGCATTTTATTGCCAAAGAAATGTGATTTTATCACGTTGTCCTTCTCTGCATTGTCACTGATGGATGACCCTACCTGATGCCGCACCCCAACCAAGCCCTGCATGGGTCTCCCGTCTCCCAGACCTCCCGTGGCTCCAGCCCCGCAGAGTGAAACCCCTCCTGCCTCGGCCCTGGACCTCCTCCACGCCGGCCAGGCGAGCCGAGGGAAAGGATACGGAGGGGGCGGTGGCTGTTTTTCCGCGCGCCTTAGCCACCTCAAAGCCATTTGTGATGCACCAAAACAAGCTTTTTTATCCGGAAAGCGGCCTATTAAACCCCCCTATCCCCAGAGCAAGCGGTCAGAGCCGGGCCACTCCCCACCGTGCCGCTGACGCTCTCTGCTGTCCCCGTCCCACGAAACAAAATCTTGCATTTTCGCAGCCTGAGCTCAGCGCCGTGCCCAGGGAACACTAAAGCACAACAGCGAGATGCCAGATTCCGGGGTTGTTTGTCTGATCACAAGGAGCCTTTGAACCAGGGGGGGTGGTGGGGTTCTTTCTTTTTTTTAATGATGTTGCTGCACGCAAAGAGCACCTGGGGAAAGTGACGCGGCCCCTGAGCAAGGAGGGAGCGGCGGCCGCGATGCCCGTTTCGATGGAGCAAAAATCCAGAGCAACGTAATTATTGGAGGAGCAGTACCTATATTTTAATGTGTTTGATCACAGCACACTTTAAATCATGGGTTCCTTCCAAAAGATGACCCCAGACAGGGGTCGCTTGCATCTCCCACATGATGACAGGCTGCAAAACCAACTTGCTGTGATCCATAAGGATCTTCCTCCTCCTCCTCCTCCTCAGGTCCCTGCAGACCGACCTGAGCTGCTTCGCCCTCGCACGAGCGCTCCAGCTGTGCCCGTGTCCACCAGACCTCAGTCACCGGCGGAGGGAGAAGGTCCCATCTGGGAAGGCAGGAAGCGGCCCCGCCGCCGGTGCCGGAAGAGAAACCCGGTCCCTCCCTCCAGCCCCGCAAGCTGTAAAACCTCAGAAAAATCTTCTCTGCCCTCTCGGGGAAAGCACCCGCTTCGACACGGCCGCCCCCCACGCCCTGCCTCTTGAACCCAGGGCT